TGAAGATAATTGTAGCATAGTGATGTTCATAACCATTTGTACTTAAAGCAACATTCAACACTTCATATGCTAATATATTTTCTGTGCAACTATATAATGTATATTTATATGCATATCCAAAGATGACCCATAAATCATCTCACATAAATCATTTTTATTTGTATATATATTTCTATTGTCAATGTTAAGTAGATATCCGGAATTGGAATGTTTTCACTGACGCATGAAAATCCAGTGATTCCCAAAAGAGCCATCACTTTGCTTGGCTTGCTAGATCTATTGCAAATGAGCATACACATTTTATATACATCATAAGCAAGTGATTAATAAACTTTTTATAATCAATATGATTAATTGCATGAGTTAACCCTTGCCAGCATGTATAATCTTTTTAGAATTAAGGAATTTATGGAGCAATTATTACTGACAAAGCTATCAATATATATGATATTTTATCATGAAAATTAAATGAGACTATAGCTAAAAGTGAAATGTATGATTGTCAATTTTCAAAATAATTAAGGATTCTATTGTGAGCACCGTGAATAATGCTACTAAAAAAATAATAATATGCTTTTTTCTAATAAGTAAAAGTTATTTATCTCAAAGTGTGCTGTGAAACTTCAAATTTGGTTACGATTTAACCAAAACATACCAAATAACAAATCAACTCGAATGCCTTATAGCATACAAACCTCAACCAATCCAATTTGCATAGGTAAGCATTGAAACTCAATTTTGAGTTAATATACACCCAATTTATTCGTTATGGGTTATGCACAAAAAACAACAACAAGCCTTCATCCCACTAAGTGTGGTCGGCTACATGAATCCTTTTTCTCCATTGTGTCATATTGAGTGTCATCTTCATTTAGTTCTAATTTATTAAGATCATTTTTTATACAATATTCCCAAATATTTTTAGGGTCTACCTCTGTCGTACCTCCAACTTTCTTAACATAAGTCGAATCTAAAACATCTACTCTCATAACCAGTTCATCAGATAGTCAACTTTATTTTGACCAAACCAACTAAGATGACTCTATCTAATCTTGTCCACCACTGGAGTTACACCTACCCTATTATAGGTGTATTCATTTCACATTTTCTATCTTACACATCCCCCTAAGCATTCCCTTCTCAGCAGGATTTAACTTTGTTTTATGCTTTTCTTTTAAAGACTAATATTCTTCACTATATAGCATTGCAGGTCTCACCACCATCTTATAAAATTTTCCTTTAAGTCTAAGCGATACTTTTCTATGCACAATAGGCCTGATGCATTCCTCCACTTCAACCAACCAACTTGAATTCTACTAATAACATCCACATCTATATCACAATCACTTTGAAAAATAGACCCGAGATGACTAAAACGTTCACACATTTTAATAATTCGATCACCCATAGTTCCAACTTTGCCATTAGAGCTATTACTACTAAAATTACATTCCATGTATTAAATATTAGATCTACTCAAATGAAGGCTTTTAGACTCCAATTCAGACCTCCATAATTCAAGTTTTTCTTGAACTCTTTCTCTAGTCTTATACACAAGAAGGATATCATCAACGAAATGCATACATCAAGTTATATCCTCCTGTAAGTGTCCGGTAAGAGCATCCATAACTAAAGCAAAAAGATATGGGCTTAAAGCTGACCCGTGATGTAATCCGACTGAAATAAGAAAATACTTGGTCAATCCTTTTGTTCAAGAACAAGTAATAACTCTAGTATACATATCTTTGATGACTTGACTATAAATCATCTCAACACCTTTCTTCTCTAGAACTATCCAAATGACTTCTATTAGTACCTTAATGTAAGCTTTTTCTAAATCAATAAAAATCTTATGTAGATCCTTCTTACTCTCTTTGTACTTCTCCATCAAACCTCTCAAATAATGTATAACTTCCGTAGTAGACATTCCCAACATAAATCCAAACTGATTATGAGAAATCTTTGTATCACTTCTTAACCTATGTTCGATTACCCTCCTATAATTCCAAAATTTGTCCATCAACTTAAATTCTCTTTAATTTGAACACTCCTGTGCAACATCTTTATTCTTAAAATTGGGGACCAAATACTCTTCCTCCACTTAACATTGTTAAGTTTTAAAATAATATTAAAAAGTTTAGTAAGTCAAGAAACTCCCAAATCTCCTAAATATTTTCACACTTTAATTGAGATATCATCATGTTCTTCATATTTTTTACCATTGGTTTTCATTAAAGCCTCCTCAATTTTTTTTCTACTAATGTGACGGTAATAATAAAATGTTTTATTATTAACGATATTACGATCACTAAGGTCGATATTTCTTTTCATAAATTTCATTGAAAAGTTTTAAAAATAGCTCATCTATCTATTTTGAATATCTTCTTCTAAGAAAATCACTTTTTAATTATCATCTTTAATACATATTATATGAATTAAATCTTTATTTTTCTTTTTTCGTTGTTTGAGTTGTTTATACATATTTTTCACTCTCTTTAATATCTAATATATTATAACGATGACCAAAAATAGTATTTTTAACGTCACAAATTGTTCTCTTAGACTCCCTAGGAGACACCTTATTATTTTTCCCAATTCTCTAAGGTTTTACATTTAAACCAATTTTTATAACAATTTTTAATTTTTTTTTTGTACATTATTATTCCATCACCAACTATTTTTATTTATAAAAAAATTTCCTTTCATTCTCCAAATATATCTTTTTCCACATGTTTATTAATGTTTGTTACTTTTTCCCAAACATAATTAGCTTCTTCATAAACATACCTACTTTCAAAATCTTGAAGTTTACTCACAAAAAAAAAAAATTATTTGTGTATTTTAGGGGCCCTTCTAATTCCATGAAATTGTTTTATTATATTCTTTATCTTACAACTCATCTTGAAATCCAAAAATAATATTCGATATGGACTACTTATATTTTCACTTGAAATGATCTTACAATCTTTACATTCTTGACGATCTCTTTTTCTCATAAGAAAATGATTAATTTGTGTTTTATTAGATCCATTCTTATAAGTAATAATATGTTTATCTCTTTTCTTAAATAAAATATTAGTAATAACAAAATCATACGCTAAAATAAAATCTAATATAACTCTACATTCTGCATTAATTACTCTAAAATTGTAGCCACCATAAGTATTTCTAAAATCTTCTACAACTCTACCAACATGTCTATTTAAGGCTCTTCTAATAAAAATTCTTTCTTCAAGAGGTATCATTTGTATTAATTTTTCTAGGTCATTTTAGAATTTTTCTTTTGAACCTCTTTGAGGAGCATAAACACTTATAACATTAAAAGTTTTAGTATCAACAACAATTTTTAGAGTTATAATTCTATCTCCAATTCTATTAATATTTACAATATTATCTTTCAAACTCTTATAAATAATTACTCTTACATTATTTCTAGTGCGACACTTACCTGAATAAGAAAGTTTAAAACTTAATTTATCAACCTCCTTGGTCTTTTCATCAATTCATTTAGTTTTTTGAATACATAAGATGTTTTTCTTCCTATGAACCATAATATCTATGGGATTTATTCATTAACAATGAAAATTAATTATTGTCATTGTAAAAAGTAAATTTACTATTTGAACATTAAATTATAATACTCTTTAACTTCATTATTAAAAGTACTAATAGTTTCTGGTATCTAATAAAACCTAAGGTAACCTAATCTAAACATAAATGCTAGATAACAATAACATAATTAATCTAATACAATTATGAATATGAATGATAGGATTAAAGTTTGAGAGAGTAAGAAAGGCAATCCACTATGGGAGAAGAAGATTTAAGAAGTTTTACAGCTGTGGTGGCTATCAATGTAAGGACAAAATGATGAAGGCTTGGTTTAAGAAAATTGATGGCTACTTGGGAGAGAGATGGCTACACGATCTCCTAACTAGCTGCCAATCTTGAAATCAGGAGCTGGTGCTGAGCAACACATGTTTTTTACACTGGTAGCTGGCTGAGGATGCTGCCTGGTTCTTGTGAAGCAGATGTGAAGGTGGGCCAAGTTATTTGGTTTATTGTTTGGGTTTGGTGCAATTGGGTTAATTACATATAATTTATCTGAAACATAATTAACGAATTAAAGCTTGTTTTAATGCTGTCGTACTAGATCTATTGAGGATTAGAAGTGTATTGTGTCGTTGTTGGTGGAAATCTCATTTCTCAGAGAAAAGAAGTAGTTTGTTATAGTTAGGTTTAGTGCTGAAGTTGAATATAAGGGCATCTTTCATTTTGCTTGTGAACTAATGTAGATTAGAACTCTTGTTGAAAAAATTGCTTTTTTTTATCATAGCTGATTATTCGTAACTATACTAATCAAGTAGCTATTTTCATGGCTAACAATTTTACCTTTCATAAACAGACCAAACATACTGAGATAGATTGTCACTTCATTAGACATACCACCTTGGCAACAAGAATTAGCACACCATATGTTATCAATAAAAGTCAAATATCTAATTTCTTAACCTAGCCTCTAACATCTCTTTGTTTTTCCATTCTTTATAATAACATGAAATTTAGTGATATATATACTTCACTTGGACGGGAGTTTTATTATATGGAAGTGTTAAATGAGAGAGATGATTAATGAGTGTAACATATTCTCATAGTAGAGAATATTTTATTTATTTATTTATTTTATTATCTGCTTCTATGTAGTCAATAATAAGAAAAGCCTTCATTGAAACATGCATATCATCAACTCATTTTTGAGCATTAGTTGGTTCATATCTTTGAGACCTGTCTATTTTTATTTCTACAAATATTTTATTGAATTCATCATACTCTAAGAAGATAATCAGATTTTTTTCATGTAAAAGGAAGTTTTTTTTAATATTAAATTTTCACATCTTAGAACTTTAATTATTGCACGAATCTTCTATTTTAGTATTGTTATTTTTTAAACATTGTTGACAAATTAGCCACATAATGTTGACAAGAATATGCATTTTTAGATCAAGCGGTAATCAATCGTGCAATAAACGACATATGCATACTTTTGAAGTGCAGCCAACATCATTTAAATGTGGTATGTGATGAATTATGTAATTTTAATAGTGAGAAACTTATTTTCCTTTTCTGATCAATAAATATTTTTTGAAAGATCGATTATTGCCTACTTACTCTTCCCAAACTAGTTTTCAAGTCTATATTTTTTTTTTATTTAACCTATTGCTGTAATTTTTCTTTGTTTTTATAAGATATAATTGATTATGAAATTGAAAAAAAGACGATTTAATGATTCATGGAAACCAAAAAATCATGAGCAGAAGGAGAATTGACCAAATGTTTTCCTATTTTAGTTGGATTACATCAGAGATCGACTTTAAATCCATATTTTTTTGCTTTAGTTATGGATGTTCTTTCTGGACATTTATAGGAGGATGTACTTATAGGAGGATGTACCTTGGTTATAGGAGGATGTACCTTGGTGTATGCTTTTCGCTGATGATATCCTTCTCGTGGATAAGGCTAGAGAAAACTCTCAGAAAAAACTTGAATTTTGGAGATCTACATTGGAGTCTAAAGGTCTTCATTTGAGTAGAACTAAAACTGAATAGATGAAATGTAATTTTAGTAGTAGTAGCTCCAATGATAGAGTTGTAACTATGAGTGATCAAATTATTAAGAAGTATGAACGCTTTAGATATCTCGGGCGTATTGTTCAAAGTGATGGTGATATAGATGGAGATGTTATTAGTAGAATTCAAGTTGGTTGGTTGAAGTGGAGGAATGCTTCGGGCCTATTGTGTGATAGAAACGTACTGCTTAGATTGAAAGGAAAATTTTATAAGATGGTGGTGAGACCTATAATGCTCTATGGCATTGATTGCTGGCCTTTAAAAGAGAAGCATAAAACTAAGTTAAGTGTTGCAGAGATGAGAATGCGTAGTTGGAGGAGTGGCTTTACACTTAGAGACAAAATGCGAAATGAATATATCTGTTATAGGGCTGGTGTAGCTCCAGGGGCAGACAAAATTTGATAGTCGTCTTAGATGGTTTGGTCACATTAAATGTCAACCATCTGATGATCCGATTAGGAGAGTAGATGTTTTAAATTCGACTTACGTTAAGAAAGGCAGAGATAGACCTATAAAGACTTGGGCATACTGAATAAAAAATGATCTTAATTTATTAGAATTAAATGAAAATATGACACTCAATAGGATGCAATGGGATTAAGGTTTGTTGTTGATGTTGTTGGAAACCAAAAAATCACAATATTGAATGCACTATAAATATTATAAACAAACTATGTAATGAATTCCAGAATACTACTAGGATTCACGAATTTCATAATTCTCTTCTCAAACGCTTAAAGTCAATCAATGATGATATTTTTTTGATAAATTATCAAACAACTTGTAAATTGTTAAAATTGTACATACTAATTGCTTAAAGAACATCAGAGAGAATAGCTGGTCATGATCTTATATTTGAAAGCCATGCTAAAAATTTTAATGAAAGGAAAATGGATATTTTTCTTATTAAACCCCAGAATTTTAGTTATTAATAAATATTTGATGATCACAAATATAATTTTGTCGAGTCTAATGTTTTTGATTTTGTTACATAGAACATCATATGAAAACCCAATTCACTAATTGACGTGAGACGCAACAAAGATGGGTGTGATTTAGCTGACTAAATAAGCCTCAAATGCCTATTATGGCATCCTACTTACCTGGACAGAGTGAGTGATATACTCAAAATGACCTAAATTCACCTGAAATAACACAATCACATTGTACCATTTGACACATAATTAGTATCTTTAAATCTTTCAAATTAAGCAAAAGGCATTACAGTAAATGTACAATAAAATATAATCCCAAAATTGAATTGATACTAATCCCATATAAGCTGGATCAAATGCTCCACGCACGTGGAAATGGTTCTTGCGGGCCGCTCGATCCTATGTCTTCCTTTCACTTGGTTAGAGCACGGGACAGTCGCTTGTGCTTCCCTTCTCCTTTCCTCTCAGTTTCTCTCCCTCTCTCCCATTGTCCCTCGTTCTCTATCTCTCGTGTGAAAAGAAGGGACGAGAGAATACTTTCTCGTATAAGCTTTCCCATGAGCAGAGGAACAGGTATTTTCGTCATTTTTTTTTTATAATTATGCTAATAAAAATTGTAAATAGTGTTATTACAATCTCCCCTTATAAACATTTCATCCTCAAATTTTAAAGTACAATGATATCTTTCATACCTTAATTAAACATGTGTGGATATCTCTCTTTTTTTATTTATTCTATTTAGTATCTTTTTCAGTCTCGTGCTTCCATATTACACAAAAAAAAAGAATCTCTCTACTTATGAGCTGCTTCACATCATAGTCTATGATTTTTTCTGTTTCTTCTATAAAAGTCAATTCAGGTTCAATGTCTATAGGGTATGTGACAAGCTTACTAGCCTCATCAACAATATACTACCGCAGGAAAGATATATGAAACAAATTATGTACCCCGTATATATATGCTGGTAAGGCAAGCCTATAAGTTACTTTCACAATCATCTCCACAATTTCAAATGGACCAACATACTGTAGACTCAACTTCCCAGACTTTCGAAACAATTTAACACATTTCATTGGATTGCCTTCAGAAAAACAAATTCTCTCACTTCAAATTTCACTGGTCTGTATTTGACATCATAATACTTTCTCTGCCAGTTTTTTACTTTTCTTAGTTTATCTTGAATCAACCAAAATTTTCAATTGCTTCTTCAACTGAGTCAACACCAATTAATTTCCTTTCACCAATTTCTGTCCAACAAAGAAGTGCTGTATTTCCTTCCATAAAGGGCTTCTTAAGGAGCCATACCAATACATGTATGGAAGTTATTATTGTAGGCAAATTCTATCATAGGTATTTTATTTTCCCAATTGTTATCGAAATCAAGATCACAAAATTGAAGCAGGTCTTTCAATATATGGTTCATTTTCACTCACTAACTGTCTGTTTGGGGATGAAAATTGTATTTAATATCAGCTGAGTAGCCAAAGCCTATTGAACTTTCTTCCATAGTCTGAATGTGAATCTACTATTTTGATCTGAAATAATAAACTTTGTGGCTATATGCCATCACACAATTTCATCTACATAAATTCTAGCTAGCTTATCCACATAATATATCTATATGATATACAAAAAGTATACAAACTTTGTCAGATGATAAAAAATTATCCAAAATAGCATCACGACCCCGCTTTGATCTTATTAGCCCAATTACAATTTTCTCCCAATTTCTCTCTAGTATAAACAATGTTTGCAATAATCCACTCAACTCATGATGCTCAGCCTTAACCATTTGACGAGTATGGCACTTTGCTACACACTCTGTTGCACTGCGTTTTAATCCTAAAGCCTTTAAGCTCTTGATACATCTTATTGCTTCTAAAAGTATCGTGTATCTTGAATAATGTGTCCCATGCAGAATTTCCTTCTGTAAATCATTCACATCATAAATGTAAGTTCTATTCTTACACCTCAATAGTTTTTTTTCATCGATCTCAAAATTTTTCATTTGACCTGCATTCACGTTGTCTAATATTTTTTTATACTATGCATTATGTGGCAATGTATTTCTTATTCTATACTACAAAGTTGGTTGACTGAGTATTTGATTTAACAATGCAAAAATTTCATTAGTTGGTACTACTACCGATAATTGCAAGCACTACATATCTTTAATTTGTTCTTGTTGTATAATTACCCAATTAGCATTATTAGCTGCTTTTTTGGTTAACGTGTCAGCCACAACTTTTGTTTTCCCAAAGTGATATTGTATATCTAAATAATAGTAATATTTATGAGCTCAAACTATCTCCTTTGTCTAAAATTCAGCTCATTCTGTGTGAAATTATACTTTAAGTTTTGGTGATCTGTGAGCACTTCACATTTAACTCCATATAAATAATGTCTCCATATTCTTAAAGCACATACCAGAACAACTAGTTCCAGGTCATATTTTGGATAATTCTTTCCACGATTCTTCAATTATCTAGAGGCATAACAATTACCTTCCCTTGTTGTATAAGCATGTATCCAAGCTTTTTTAAAGACTCTTCGCTATAAATCTTGAAGTCTTTTGTCCTTGAGAGGGATAGTCAATACTGGAGCTGTCATCAAACACATCTTCAACTTAGGAAATGCTTTCTCATACTCATCTGCCCACTCAAATTTTATCTCTTTTTGAGTCATTTTGGACAAGAACATTATGGTATGAGGGGCCCCCTAAACACATCTTCCGTAATAACCTGTCATACCTAGGAAACTTTGAATTTCTGTAACAATAATTGGCTTGGACCAATCAGCTATCGCTTTCACCTTATTCTGATCCACTATGATACCTTAATTGTCGATCACATGCCCCAAAATGCTACTCAACCAAAATTCACATTTTGATAACTTGACATATAGTTGTTTCTCCTTCAGTGTTTGTATGATGAGCTTCATCACTGGAATATATTAGAATGTCACGGATAAAGACAATCATGAATTTATCAAGAAATGGTTTAAAGATTATGTTTTCAGGTCGATAAAGACAATGAGAGTATTTGATAATCTAAAAGACATCACCACAAACTCATAATAACCATAATTGGTAGTGAAAAGTAATTTTCTTATGTCATCTTCTTTAATTCTTAACTCACGATAATTTGAGCACAAATCAATCTTAGAAAATGTAGATGCCCCTTCCAATTGATGAAAGAGATCATCAATCTTTGGCAATAGCTATTTATTCTTGATTATGAGCTTGTTTAAATCTCGATAATCAATGCATCTTTCTTTCTAACAAAAAGCACTAGAGCTCCCCAAGGGCAAGTGCTTGGTCTGATAAATCATTTCTCTAATAAGTCCTGTAGTTGGTTCTTTAATTTTTGCAACTCCTTGATTGTCATCCGATAAGGTGCTTTTGCCCTAGTTCTGCACCTGATATTAAATCGATGAAGAATTTTATATTTCTTCTTGGAAGCAAACGTGACAAATCATTTAAGAATATTTTTTGGGCACTCCTTTACTACTAT